TACGGGGTCAAATAGGTAGATAAATAATTCTAAGATGCATTTGCGTTGAATGATCGCCCAACAGCCGAATCAATAACTGGAAAATATTTCCGTTGGATTTAACCACGTAAGCAAACGCCGATTTGAAATAATTTTGATACGTTTGCGTTGAGTGATCGCCTAAAAGCCGAATCAATAACTGAAATATACTTCCGTTGGATTTAACCACATAATCGCCCAAATTCCGATTTGAAATAATTTTGATACGTTTGCGTTGAGTGATCGCCCAAAAGCCGAATTAATAACTGAAAAATACTTCCGTTGGATTTAACCACATAATCGCCCAAATGCCGATCTGAAATAATTTTAAGACGTTTGCGTTGAGTGATCGCCCAAAAGCCGAATCAAGAACTGGAAAATACTTCCGTTGGATTTAACCACATAATCGCCCATTTGCCGATTTGAAAAAGTCTTGACACGTTTGCGTTGAGTGATCGCCTAAATTCCGAATTGAAATGATTAACTAGAAGTTTTTGTTAAAATAAGGAACAGGAATCGCCCACATTCCGAGTTAAAAATGAAATAATTTGGTTTCCCTAATTAGGGGAGATGCCAAAAAATTTTCTAAGTTATAAGTGGATCTCAAAGCACCTAGTCGTCCACATACCGACGAGAAAGATGCCAAAACATTTTCTAAGTTAAAAATGAATTATCGAATCATCTAGTCGTCCACATACCGCCTAGAAAATGCCAAATTTTCTCCAAGTTAGAAATGAATTATCCAATCATCTACTCGCCCAATCGGACTTTTGCCGACAATTACGAGTTTTAAGAGTTATTGATACTCGCCCAGTCGGACCTTTGCCGACAATCACGAGTTTTAAGAGTTGTTTATACTCGCCCAGTCGGACTTTCGCCGACAATCACGAGTTTTAAGAGTTGTTTATACTCGCCCAGCCGGACTTTCGCCGACAATCACGAGTTTAGAGAATTTTCGTGCTCAAAGGAGTCTTATTCAAAATTTCTCTGGCCCCCCTGAAAATTGTGCCCAAAGCTTCTATTTATAGGAATCAGAAGAGGCCAGAACGGCCTGTTCCGGATTTAGAATGGCCCATTCTGGCCCAATCGTTATGTGCAAATTTCGTACCCTGGAACAGCCCGTTCTGAAAATGCAACGGCCCATTCCAGAGTAGAAATTAACACAAATTTTCCTTTTCCAGAACGGGCCGTTCCAAATTTGCCTTGTTTGGAACGGCCCATTCTAGTATTGGAACGACCCGTTCCACCCAAGTCTCTTTAGGTGTTTTTAGTTGCGTTGGAACGGCCCGTTCTGATATTGGAACGGCCTGTTCCGGGGTTCAGAACGGCCCGTTCCGATTTTGGAACGGCCCTTTCTGATTTTGGAACGGCTCGTTCCAATTTTCGAACAGCCCGTTCTGAGCTACTAAAACCACCTTATTTGGCCTTTAGGCCTTCTGATGTCCTGTCTTGTTGTTTGCCTGCTTCGGAAGCTCCTTCCCTTCATAACGGAGGTCCATTTCTTTGTTTGTGTGCCCCTGGACGAAATTGGGTGTCTACAATGAGTATTATTTTGGAAGCCACTCCTGGCTTTGGTTAGGAAGTCATTCCTGGTCTTGGCATTCTCTTGGATCATCCTTCATTCAATTGAGGAGTAGGGCGCGATGGCCTCTTCATTCTTACAGACTTGCTTGTTTGGTCGATTCTATTATATTCCACTTTTGATATGTCTTTGCTTAGTGGGCACATAGAATCACTTGGGGTTGCCATTTGACACCACTTTGACTCATGCTTGGCTATTGAGATTTTACGAGTGCTTTGTCCTGATGACTTCTTCTGACTCATAGCAAGTAGCATGCATGGACGCATGGATATATATATATATAGTTATTGGGAATTATTATATATATTGCTTATAATTAATTAGAACTAGAGTGCATAGTACACATTTTAAAAAAGTTTGGCTTTATTTTTGTAACCAAGAAACTTTTTTTTTCACACGTATACACACATTATTTTAATTTGGAATTTAGAGACTTGGTAAATTAGTACCAATATATATAAGGGATCTATTTACTCTAGAAGTAACTATACTTAGACTTACTCTACTCAATAATTGATGTTCTATAAAAAAATTATCAATAGATATTTCCCATAGAAACAATTGTAAAAACATTACAACATATTAAAATATTTTTGACGAATATTTGTTTGGGATGCCCATTTCTTTGATAGAATTTTGTTCCTCGAAAATCTGTCAAAAATTCTATTTCTGACGAATATTCCTTGTTACCAACAGATTATGTCCACTGCTAATTTGTGTTTTTCTTGTAGTAACCAAGCTCCTAACTTCTCATGCATGAATCTAAATGTGATTTAGAGTTCATTTGTATTTGATTTGAGCATGCTTGGGCACATGACTCATGAAATGCAAATGAGCTCTAAATTGTATTTAACTTCAAATGCGATTGACATAAACCTTCAAAGTTCTATATTAGGTGACCTATGTATACAAGGCCTATAAAACCTGTACAATAAATTTCGAAATAAAAAGCCCAACAAAACAAGACCAGTATTGATCATACAAAGTCCAAGGCCTAATATAGGTCTAATAAGACGTAAAGCCCAAAACTCTATTCTATTAGGTTCAAAATACATGGCCAAAAATATAATTCCTAATAAATATCCTACAACTATACAATGGAAGATATGGGCATCAAGTAATATCCCAAGTAAGAAATAACTTGGGCCCACCAACTTTTGAGCTAGCCTAATCTTCCTAATAACTCTAACAAGTCCTTTGACCATGCCTTTTCCATATATAGTTGCTATCCACTTGTGTGTAATGCTTTTTAAAATCAACTTGTTGATGCTTATAGGGTTGCTAAAAATTAAAAGGTTTAACTATTTGTATTTTATATTTTAATTTATACATTTTTATTATCTACATATTTTTCAATTTTATATGCATTAATATTACCCATGAAGAAGATCACTAGGATTAGTCTAGTAATTGAGATTGAGAAAGTGATTGGGGTAGTAACAATATAAAGGTTTAGGTTTGATATCTATTATAACTATTTTTGTAATCTTTTTTATTTAAAAAAAAAAAACTCATGCATCGTTGAATGATTGACTCAAACCATTTAAAATTGATCTTGTAGTAGAGATTAGATAATTTGTATGCAATTTTAAATTCGAATTTTATTGTTGTTATTATATAACAAAAAAAAATTAAGGTAAACGATACATACTTGATTTTCATAAGATAAATATCAAATACATAACCTTTAAAAAAACTAATTTGACCATTTAACATTTTATAAATGTTCTTTATTTAAAAATAAGTGTCTCATATAAGAAATACTAAGTTTCTCAAGACTCATTTAACCTTTAATTTATTTACTTATATTCGTTTAAAATACTTTTATTTATATCCGTATTTGTCATTCTAACAAAAGATTTTTTTTAATAATTGTATGTTATCTTATCTAATAATAACCATAGTTGAATAATTGCCTTCTCCTACTAATAAAAGCATAACCATTATTTTTGTAGTAACTTTTGTTATTTTTATTTTTTAATAAATTAAATAAATATGTAAAGACATATAGTGTCTTTTTTTATCTCTTCTATATTATATATAAGAATAGATAAAGAGAATACCATTTCCACTTTACATTTATCCTTTAATAAATTAACTTATATTTATTTTAAATGTTTTTAATTTTACCCTTATTTATTATCTATACATTTACTCATTTAATAAAATCATCATTAACAATTAAATACAAAAATTACATTGAGTACACTCCTCTTTCTCAATTGTAACTGTTACAATACATTTACAATTCACCACCTCTCTTATTTTAAATTTCCTCTTTCTCTAATTTTTTATATTCTATTTTTTTTATTTCAATAAATACGTAGAGGCGTGGTCGACCCACTGGTATGAAATAGTGACATTAGAAAACATAAATTGTTTAATGATAGTGTGATCACAAAAAAAAAAAAAAAAATACAAATGTTCAATATAATATTTCTTTATAATTCTAGTATATATTGCCTATTTTGTTTGGCTTTGATAAGAAGGTATAACTTCTTCTCACGTGATCAACTTCTGTAGAAGCAATTACTGATCTAAGATCTTAGGTTAATAAGGATAATTTTTTTTAAAATAAAAATTAATAATCGTCATCATTATATATACAAAAATTAAAATATAAATATTAAAAAAATCATCAATAAAGTTAATATACAAAATTAGAGAATACAAAATATAATATTTTCAAACATATATTAATAATTTAATTAAAGTGAAAAAAAATGTATCTTTCCACCTTCACTATAATATTAACCATCACTGTATAGAAATAAAGTAATGCCTCTCTATCACAATTCTATGTCCACGGGATTGAACCCATTTAGTTGTATATCTTCCCTATTCCACTACTTAATAATAATGATAGACGTTGAATTTAGAACAATACTCTTCTAATCTTTTTTTTTTTTTTTTTTTTTTTTTTTTTTATATTTATATTATTAACTAATTAGATAATATTTTTAATATAATATTTAAAATATTTTCAATATAATATTTTCAATATTTTTCAATATAAGAAAATAATTTCTAAAAAGATCGTGAGAGTTAATTGATGTAAAAGTTGGAAAAACAATCAATCAGAACTCAGTTTATTTCAAAATCACATCCCATAAAAAATTTATCATATCTTTAGAATATATATATATATAAATAAGGATAAAGTATGGTATTATAAAAAAAATATATATTGAAAATTATCTTTTATATGATAAATACGGTGTATTTGTGATTTCCTTCGTGTTAATCATTATTATTATGGCAATTAACAATTTTGGTTTACTCTGTGGCACGTGGCGTGTGATGATTTGTGGGAAGGAAAATATATGGTACGTAAATAAAGCGTTACCGTATGAGTATATATAGAGGGCAAGAGTTGCAGAGTCTCATTCTCTGTTTCATTCATTGTGTAAGGCTGCAACAGGTAACCGTCCCGCTTCTTCGTCGCCTTGTTCCCTACGCATTCCTACATTTTATTCTTCGTTTTCGTTTTCTTCATCTTCTTGCATTCTGTTGTACGGAAGAGATTTTTGGTCACGAGGTTATTGTTGTGTTCGCTTTCTATGATTTTCACTCGTCTCAAACTTCAGTCTTCTTGCGTGTTTTGGCTTGAAATTTCAAGTAAAATAGATCTAAAAAAAATTATCGTTGATTTTATTGTGTTTAGCGAGAAGCTACTATATCATTATTTTCAAAGAGACGAAATGATCAACATCAACTTATCTTTTCTTTTTTAGCATAAAGAAAGAAACTTATATTTTCTTTCGCCTTATTTTTACTATTTTTTTTTCCTATTATTTTCTTTAGTGAAGAGCCTGTTAAAATGAAATGCTGTATATAGATATATCGTAAATTATTTTCTTGAGTTGTTTCAAATTTATGTATAAATCTTCTTTTAAAAGATAAGTCTAAATTTTCTTGAGGTCATGGTTATTATTATTATTATTTTTTTTTTATGCATTTGTGTTGTGGGAGGTTAAAATAGAATGGATAGGACATTAAATTCAAACTCTTGTGCAATGTAATTTTAAAGGATAAAAAAGTACAAAAGATTTTTTTTTTTGGGAATGATAACGGTGAAGAATCAATAATGAAAAGGTTTTATGAGAAAGTATTATGAATATACTTCCATTGATGCACCATTACGGTTGTTGTAAATGCATATTTATTGTGAATTCTAATTAAAAATGTTATTTTTATTTATTGACTTAATTAAATTTTGTTTCTTACATTAGAATATCTAATTAATGCTCTTTTAGTTAGTAGTATTTTCTTACGTTTATTTATGCATTATTTTTATTTTTAAAATTAATATGCATTCTTTTTGTAGGATCTTGAGTGCTGTCTTTTAGTATTTTTTTTAACTAATTATATTTTTAAATTCATGCAACTTTAATTAAATTGTTGTTGTTGTTGTTTTTTTTTTTTTTTTTTTTTTTTTTTTTTTTTTTTTGCATATTTCACCCGGTGATTCTTTCTTTTCCCAAATGGATGCATAACATATTATTTAATAATTACATTTTTTAAATTACTGATCTTTCAGATTTTCTCTATATCCGTCGTGTTTTTGCTGAAGAAAGAAAAATCATCTTGTCATTTCTCACTGCTTAGAGAGTACAGCGTTTTTTTTTTTATAATTTTTTTTATGGAAGTTTAATTCTTTTTTATTTGAGCTATTTTGGCATTCCTTTCTCAAAGGTGTTTTATGAACTGATTTTTGTTGCTTCTGTTTGAAGAAGAGTTGCTGAATTACATAGAGTAGTGGTATTATGCAGATAATGTTTTTTAAAGCAGTTGTACTAATCTGCATATGTAACTGTACTCAACTAGCATTTAACTGCTCTGTTGTGATTCACAAGCATAACTAAATTTCAATCTTATTATTTTTAATCATATTTTTTAGCAGAATTTAGGAAATGGAGGCCCCAAAACGTTTGCCTATGGCTAGGATTGGAACTGGATCCAAAGGACAGAGCACACCGCTATTATCTAACCATTGTAGTGTTACTGTATCCAAGAATGATGGCTACTTCTGCCATTATAATGTATTTTTCTCATAATATCTCTTCTTCTGTGTGTGTGCATGTGTGAATGTGAAGCACATTCCTATTGATGATTGCTGATTTAACGTTATAAATAATTACATATTGTTTGTTAGGTCGCTATGAGTTATGATGGAGATAGGGACTCTGTTCAAGTCAAGGGTATAGGGAGAAAGGTCTTAGACGAAGTTTGCAAGATATATGGTGAACTGAAAAACTTAAATTTTGCATATGATGGGGAAAAAAATTTATTCACTGTTGGTTCTTTATCAAAAAATAGGCTTGACTTCACTGTTGTGTTGGAGGAAGTTTCATCGAGGTAAACATGCAATGCTGTCATCACACTAGCACCGTGGTTATGTCTATACTTTGTTGTATTGTATTTGTCACATGAGCATTAATTGATTTTCAGGGTTGGAAGGAATAGAAACCCTGACCTGATTCTTCTTGAAGGAGATGCAAAAAGAAAGAGGCGTCAATCTCGGTCCAAAACTATCAAAGTGGAACTCAATTATGTAACCAAAATTCCAATGAAAGCAATTGCAGATGCATTGCGTGGTCTGGAATCTGAGAACTTTCAGGAAGCACTTAGAGTTCTGGACATCATACTGAGACAACATGCTTCAAACAGGTATGTCAACAAAAATTCAGTTCATTTGTTTTGGTTGCTTGAGTCTCAGCCCTTACTTAACGAGTTCAATTTATAATTTCATAGTTTTCAATAAATTTTAACTTTATTTTGGCTGCTTCTCCAGGGACTGCCTTCTTGTCCGTCAATCTTTCTTTCATAACTATCCAAGGAATCGTATTGATATAGGAGGTGGTGTGCAAGCTTGCCGTGGTTTTCATTCAAGCTTTCGAGCTACACAAGGAGGTTTAACTCTCAACATTGGTAAGATTTTAAGTAGGTTGTTTGGAAGTTTATGTTACTTTTTGTCATGGTTGGTTTTTTAATTTTTTTGTTCTTTTTTTTAAAGATGTGTCAAATACAATAATATTAGAGACTGGCCCTGTGTTGGAGTTCCTTATCAAGAATCAGAATGTTAATAATGCATACAGAATTGATTGGAACAAGGTGATTTATATAATATTTCTATTTTATCTAGTAGTAGAGACTTCATGTGTATGAACTGTGGTTGTTTAATTTACGATTATTTACATAAAGGCGAAAAGAATGTTGAAGAATCTAAGAATCCAGGCTAATGGTATTGAGTTCAAAATCACTGGACTTAGTGATAACACTTGCAGGAACCAGAGGTAGGTTTTTCTTGTGCTTTCTCCTTTTACTCTATTAAAATTAGTTTAATTGTGATACATTCTTGGTACAAAAAATTGTACTCTGCACAAATAAATGGACTTATTTATTTCTTCCAGATTTCTATTAAGGCAAAAGAATGGGAATGGTGAAGTGCAAGAAAGTGAAATCACGGTTTATGACTACTTTGCTCGCCATAAAATGATTATCCCGAAGCAATCTGCTGATATGCCATGTATCAATGTTGGCAAACCAAAACGCCCGTGTTATTTTCCAATAGAGGTGCTAAAATAAATATTCAGATGTTTAATCATATGAGTTTGATCGACATATTCAATGAAAACAAATAAATAAGTAATCAGATTTTGAATGATTTTGTGATTTAATGATAGTCTAATATATCATCTGTTCTTGCACAATTTACTATTTTGGGAAACTTTATGATATGACGTTACTTTTGTTTTGCAGCTATGTGAATTGGTCTCGTTGCAGCGGTACACTAAGGCACTAACAAATTTGCAAAGAACTCAGCTAGTGACTGCGACAAGGCAATTACCCGAGGAAAAGATAAAAGCTGTTCAAAATGTATGTGGAAAATTTTGAAATTGAAGGAACCTTAGCAACAATCTTTTCGAATAACTTTTTGAGAAATTCTATGGTACCATTAAATATTTAAAGGATTTTGAAACTGTTTTTTTTCTTTAAATACATTAATATTTAGTGTTTTAGAATAGTTTGATTACATTTATTTATTTTCATTTAAATATATATTTTCTTAAAATTCTTAATATATAAATATATATATATATATATATATATATATTATAAAATGCTTGAATTTATTAAGGATATATATATTTTTTACATTATCAGTCATGATAGTTTATGATTTTTCATATTTGTATGTAAATTTTGAGAAATAAATTAAATAAAAAATTTATAAAATCTCTCTTTATTTCAACAAATAAAATTTTATTGTGCTTTTTTAAAAGTTATTTTGATTTCTACAAAATAATTTGAAATACTTATACTAGTATTTGATTAGAAGAAAGAGTAAGTTAATTACTTAAATTATCTATTTGTTAATAACACATCATTTAGTATAAAAAAAAAAGTGAAAAAAAGAAAAAACTAACACTTAAGTTAATTACTTAAGTTATTTTTATTAATTTTAAAAATTGATTGTTCCAAAACATATTAATTTAAAAGGATATTATAATAACTTCCTAACTTTTTTGAACATGCTGCATGTTGTACGAAATGGTTCTTGGGAACATTTTTGCAGTCCTTAAGAAGCAGCGGATATAATGATGAACCTATGCTTCGCTCTTGTGGAATTACCATTCAACCTAACCTTTCTGTGGTCGAGGGTCGTGTATTGCGACCCCCAAATGTATGTGTCATCGATCCCGTGTAGTTCTTTTTAATAAGTTTTAACAAAAATATAGCCCAGCTTCTTATCCTTATTCTGCTTTTGTTATCAATTTTTGACTTGGTTTTTTTTATTATAATATATATTTTTGCAGCTTCTAGTTGGAAAGGACGAGGAAATCATTCCACAGAATGGACGCTGGAATTTCAACAAGAAGGTCGACTTTTTTCTATTGTTGTAAAATTAATGTTGCGCAGTTTGAACAAAGTTTAGAGTTGCTTGTCTAACAGTGAGTGTCATCTTTCAGAGACTATATCACCCTGTGTCGATTAAGAGTTGGGCCATTGTGAACTTCTCAAGTGGGTATGACACATATCATCTGAAGGAATTCATTAAGAAGAATGCTAGAGAAAAAGGGATGGTGAGTTTCCCCAAGTATTGTTTGTCAATTTTGGAGACTATTATTAATCTTATTAAATTTATACAAACTGAACCCAAATACCAATTTTGTTTTTTGTTGAAAAAATATACCTTTTATAAGAAATTAATAAGTAAATTTTCTTTTAATAAGTTGAGTTTAAAAAAGGCCATCTAAGTTTTTGAAATGAGATATTTCATATTTTAAATTAATTCTTGAAAGATGACACGTACATTTCTTCAAATAAAACGTAACATAAAAGAGGGAGAAAAGGGGAAGAAATCAAATAAGATATAGGAATATGAAAGTAACTTTTTAAAATGAGAGTAACATTGAGTTGGTATAACTAGAATAAGTTTGATTTTTTTTTATATGGTTGTCAGATGAAAAAAATTGTAGTTGAGAGAAAATTTTACCAAAATTGGAAAATAGTTTCCATCACTGTTATTATTAGTTACAGATTGTAGATGACACAATTTTGTTAAAAAAAATAGATATGAATCCAACTCAATTTACCCTAAATTATATTATATTGCATTATTATTTAGACTTGTCTTTTATCTTTAAAGTCTATCCAATTCATTTTGAAAATACGAATAGTCAAATTCATTGCTGTTCTAAATGTATTTTTCTTGCAGGATATTAAAGCTCCATACAAAATAATATTTGAAGAGAAGAGTGACTTCAGGCATATACCAGCAGAAGTCAGGGTAGAGAAAATGTATGCTAATGTTATGGGCTCTATGCCAGAACGTCCTCAGTTTCTGTTGTGTATTCTTCCAGAGAGAAAGAATTCTGATCTTTATGGTAGGACCAATAAGCTTCTAACGATTCTATTCTTGTATGTTACTTTCTTACACTGTTCAGTTTAACATTTCTTTACCCAATATAAAATCCTATTATCTGTAATAACATGTAGGTCCTTGGAAAAGGCGATGTCTTGTTGATGGAGGGGTTATAACACAATGTATTGCACCAACAAAACCCCTGAACGATCAGTACATTACTAACGTACTCTTGAAGATTAATGCAAAGGTATATTACGCAACAATAATATAATGAGTTTAATTTTGATACATTGTCATTATCAAGATTTGTACAAAAGTCAATAACTTAGAAATCATTTTAGATACGATTTTTATGCTTATAATTGTGTTTCTTAAGTATTTAATTACTTGCTTTCATGCAGTTTGGCGGGGTGAATTCTTTTCTGTCAACCGAGCGTTATGAATCCATTCCTCATGTTTCGACTGTGCCTACCTTAATTCTTGGTATGGATGTTTCACATGGATCTCCTGGTCGAGCAGATGTGCCCTCTATAGCTGCGGTATGATATTTATGCTTCTAAATGCAGTTGCAGCTCGCGTCATGTTATTACGAGTTTGTTTAGTTTCATCAAAGGAATTTGTTGTACATATTCAGGTTGCGAGTTCAAGGTGTTGGCCACAAATTACACGTTATAGAGCTACAGTTCGTACTCAATCATCAAAAGTTGAGATGATCCAATCTTTATTCAAGCCTGTGGATAATACCCAGGACAAGGGTATCATCAGGTGCGAGCATGTATTTTATTATCGCAAATGGGAAGCTATTTGTTTGTTGAATTTTTTTTTTGACTGTTTGAAACTTTGCATTATTTGTAATAGTATGTGTTTTTATCCTTTTTATTTTATTTTATCAATTACCGATTTATTTTGTTTCAATTTTTTTTCAGGGAAGTGCTTGAGGAATTCACCGCTACTGCAAATGGTCGTCGTAAGCCTGAACACATCATAATTTTCAGGTATATTTAAATTGAGTTCCAGTAATTTCTATTTTAGGATAAATGCATCTTTTGACAGACATTATTTGTAAATCTACATATATTATAAAATAAATATTTATGATATAATTTTTTTTAAATGTAATTTATGAGTTTAAAATATTTATTATAATATTATATATATCCAATACAATTCATTTAATTTATATATATATTATATAAACTAAATGTTTATTCAATACAATTTACTTGCTAAAATAGTGTAAAATACCGGTGGACAGCCAGTGCTTTGTCCTAGCTGAAAGGATGAGAACCAATTTTCTGACTTATTCTTTTTATTGTCAAATGAATTTTGAAAAACATGCCCCTTGAATTCCACTGTGATGTTATACAATGTGTGAGTTTTTGGTTTCAAATATTATAAAAATATAGATATGTTGTTATATTTTTATTATTCATCATTAGAAATAAAGTTACGTCAAATATATATAAACAATAAATACATAGTCCTACACTTTTGTAATAGGCGGTCCAAAATCCAATTTACTCTACTTTAAGATATATATATATATATATATATATATCCTTATGAATATGAGGTATATATCATTATGTATACTTATGCACAACAACTTGCTATTATCTCTCTTAACTTGAGGTATGAAAGTTTTAAATGTTCAACTTATAAAAAAAAAATAATTAAATTAAGTTTTATCGAATACTTTCACAAAAATATCTATTAGTTATGTGTGAGTAGAAACATAAGATAATTTTATATTACTTTTCAATACTTCAAATCTGATAAGATGACAATCTATTTCAAAGCTCAATTTGCTTTACTTCAATATCTACTTGTCTATTATGAATATGAACTATGCACAATTATACACAATAATTTGTTATTAATTATCGGTACCCGTGTTTATTTTAGGGATGGAGTGAGTGAATCACAGTTCAACCAGGTGCTCAACTTTGAATTAAGTCAAATCATCGAGGTATTCATTCCAACTAATTTATATTTCATATCTGACTATACTATTTCATGAATGACATTGAAGTGACCGAGTTTGATCGAAATTGTTTTTCCAGGCATGCAAACATTTTGATGAAAAGTGGGAGCCGAAGTTCGCTCTGATTGTTGCCCAGAAGAATCATCATACTAGGTTCTTCTTGGCGGATCCTCCACAAACACCTCATCGTGGTCGACCTTCACCTGCACAACTGAATGTTCAACCTGGTTTGTCACTTGAACTGTTGAACAACATAATTTACTCTTTTATTATAAATTAGAGTTAGAATTAGAATACAGTTTCCTCACTCTCCCCACGTTCTTAACTTGATATTTTAAATATTTTTTCTTGCTTTTTGAAGTGTATTTCACATTATTTTCTGAGGCATTAAGGCAAAAATTTGTCTCAGCAATTTTAAAGTAATCTTTTATTTTCACTTGTATATTTGATTTTCTTGGCTGCTCATTTTTTCATCTATTTTTGTTTCTCTATTTCTAAATATTTAAAATTTAATCCACTTTTTTTTGTTGTCTGCAGGTACCATTATTGACAAAAATGTTTGTCATCCCAGAAACAATGACTTCTACTTGTGTGCTCAAGCTGGAATGATTGTAAGTAACATTTTCAAAATTGAATTTGTCTGCCATTTTTTTATGTTATTATATTTGATCAAGTAAGAGGTAAATTAAAAATTGAAAAAAGTAGTGTTAGTCTTCAACTAACAATCGTTGTACTTAACTCGCTAATACGCATTGCTCTCATACAATAATTTCTAATAAGTCGATACAACGAATGTAAAATTGAAACTGTTTTATCGTAACAAATGCATTCCTAAGATGACATTGACCTCAATAACTAATTCCTGCAATTTTTTACTGTGACAAACCTGTTTTTTTTCCAACAGGGGACAACTCGACCTACTCACTACCATGTTTTGCATGATGAAATCGGGTTCACAGCTGATGAAATACAGGAATTAGTGCATTCTCTATCTTATACGTAAGTTCAAAAAATAATAAAAATATCCCCTACAACCCTTTTGATTTTTATACTAATGGATTATTTTAAACTTTTGCAGGTATCAGAGGAGCACAAGTGCTGTATCATTAGGTAAATTTTCATTGCCTTTAATGTATTTGTGTCTTAGCATCCAAGTTTTCTCTAAACTGTTGACTTGTAGACACTATACTATTTTTATTAACCAGATACTTTCTGATTTCTTACTGCAGTTGCTCCCGTTTGCTATGCCCACTTGGCAGCTGCTCAGATGGCACAATTTGTTAAGTTTGACGAACATACTGAGACGTCTTCTTCCAGCCATGGTGGAGTCACCTCTGCTGCTGCACCTCCAGTTCCTCAATTACCACGCCTTCACCATTCAGTCAGAAACTCCATGTTCTTTTGTTAAATATTTTTCTTTATCTTTCGTTCTATAAAAACTTTTAAGCAGTTGAATTACCATACTCTGATCAAGTGTTTAGACTTTGTTAGGCTCCTTTTTGTCACAAATTTTAATACATTTTTGGTTTCTTGGATTTTAGTATCTTATTTTACGCGTGAGCAACCTTAATTAACACGTGTATATGTTGTTGGATGTGTCTACCTAGGATATACAAAAATTTGTCTCTAAATTTATTTTTCTTCTTCTAATGATATGGTTTTCACTAAGAAAATTAAAGTGATGTATTGGCTTTAAACTTAACTTTTGAAAGTTTCATTATGTAACATGTTAAAATAAATGAGAATGTCACGTACAATATACAAACTGGGTGGTAAGAATGGAGAGAAGGGAATTAAACATTATCTATATATAACGAATTAACTTCCATATTATTTTTCCTTTAACTTTCACTTTCAACATTGAAGAATTTCAATCTCCAATTTTGCCTTATTCGTTGGTCACTTATGTCAAGTATGACATCCAGTTTGACTTATGTATCATTTTGAACATAGAACTTAGAACTTAGAAGAGACAACATATCTCACTCAAGAACTTTTATCGATGGGCTTCATAGAGTATCACAATTTTAGATATGCACAATGAGATCCTTACAGCATGAAAACAACTTTATTATCCTTTATTTTTTTTTTTTCAACTTTCAACATTAGAATAGAAAAAGTATTTTAAAATGAATGCTCTACAACATGGCAACTTCAACATAATTAACAAGTTTCTAACATACAACATATAACTTACAACTATACAACTTATCAACTTTCAATCTACATAACATATAACTTGGTAAATATTCACAAATTTTTTTCAACTTACAACTTAGTTTATTCATAGATCAAAATCATAGGTAAGCTAACCAATTTTATCAACAAAGCAACATGCCATATCTTTTATCTTAGAGTTCTCAACATAATAGATATAGATTAATGAACAATCTTAGATCCCTTAGGAATACATGTTTTAATGTTAACAAATTTAAACATTTTTGACAAAGAAATATTTTTAAGATCATATAAGACGATAGTATAAGATAATTGGTGATGATGACGTGTCTCTTTGACAAGTCCTTCAGACGGAACACTTTGTCTGCATAAAACAAAGACATTAAATATATTATTTATTATGTATGATAACCATATATTCTATTTCTATGTTATTTCTTAACAGATCAAATGAATAAAAGATTATTTTGTACTTAAACTTCAAAAAAGGAATGAAGATATGCTTTTTGTAAAAAAAAAAAAAAAAGACAAGCGGATATCTCAAAGTGCACGAAGTCACAAATAAATAATTGACATATGCAACATGTCCTCTAATTTTGTACCTTAAAAGCGATAATTAGTTTCATTGATCAGATAAGAAATGACAATTTGGTGAAACATATAAAATGTACCAACAAACATCTTATTTCACAAGGAAGGAAGACGAAAAAAAATGAAGCAAGCCTACAAGTGAAGCTTAATGATTTACAATAATCATCTTCATCAAAACACGTATATAAAGAAGCTTGAAGATTTAAAAAGAAAAAAGAACTAGAACAAGAACAATTATTCTTTTCTTTCTATTTTGTAAAGCTATGTACTTAATTGTTGTATCCTTACCAAGCTTTAAGTTAGTGTTTTAGCTTGAAGCTTGAAGAGGACAACAAAGAATACTTGGCTGTTGAATCCTGGAAATGTTATGTTATTTAAAGAATACTTGGATAGTTACTTGAAGAGGTAAATTAAAAAATACTTAGGTTGAGTTAGTAGTGGCTTGTGAAAGAATACTTGTATCTTGAAAAAGATAATGAAATTTGATTGAGTTGATCAAGAATTGGATGTAGTCTCGGTGGTTGAGACTAACTAGTATAAAAACACCTTTTGTGATTTGTTTCGTGCTTATCTCTTTGTCTACATTTCTTAAGGTTGAAGTTACTACTTCACTATTTCAAAAGAATGTTGAGTTTTTGATTGACACTATTCAACCCCCTTCTAGTGTATTCCTTTTCTCCATAGTTTGGTATCAAAGCTTATCCTTTAACTAATTGTGTTAAAGGAAAATATCCTAAGATCGGAAACATTGAAGGTTAGTACTTGCCAAAATGAGCTTTTCTTATAAGGCCTACAACCTTTAATGGAGAAGACTACTCATATTGAAAATACATAATGGAGATGTTCTAGTAACCAAGCTAGAGAACGAGTACACGTAAGAAGACAACAACATCTTATAGCTTAACACAATGGCAAGATACATCTTGGCTTGGGTAATTCTAGCTCCATTGGAAAGCTACCATCCAAGGCTACAACTTGTATGAATACTACAAAACTTAGTTTCGTCATTTAAAGGTCTTGTCTTCAAAAGTTGCACAAGTTATAAGTATTACTTTTGTGCATAGAACATGAGGCTCATCTTATGACTCACATAACTCAATCACTTCTTAACATTTTTATATAATTCTTTAGTCTAAATCGTAGTCCTAAATATATAATTTTTAACCCAACAAATCAAACTTTATTCGATTAATCACACATAGGGAAATCACCCAAATATTGAGGCATGCTCATACAAATTTTTTCAAAATCAATCAAACAACACAAAACTCCCAAATTATACATACAACCCTAACCTCTAAATCACATAACAATCTGAATCAATCATCACATTTAAGAAATTACCAAGACATGGCAATAAATCAATCTCAGATTATACAAACATGCATCTTGCAACAATAAAATCAACAACCTATGAGGCTTAGGGATTGCCTCACTACACATACCCCTCATATGTGCCCTTGAATGAGACATCCTCACTTCTTCTTACATCGAATGATGATCATCATATCATAAGTATGCCCTTTTGTTGCTTTTGTCATTACTTCACACTTTTTTGGTGTCTCCCTCTATGTTCTCTTCTGTAGGCACTCATAGGGATCAAAATAGATGCGTAAGAATAACCTATCCCCTTTTTTTAAGCCTTCAGGTTGGGTTTAAAAGTCCAACCAAAGACTTTTCTCTTAACTCACAATTTTTTTTTCATTTATTTATTTAATAAAAATATTTTAATTATATTACCAACCTAATTAATTAAATTAATTAAGTTTGTAACATAATTATTTTATTTAAATAGTTATTTTATTTAATTTATGAAATATGGGATGTTACCACCTTCCCCCTCTAAAAAGAAAATTCTTCCTTGAATTTACCTGTTGGAAACAACTCCAGGTATGCTTCCTTGATCTTGCTTTTTAGCTCCCAAGTAGCCCTCTTAGAAGTAGATCCTCACTAGAAAACATTAGCCAAAGGAATATCCTTGTCTCGGAGCTATTTAACCATTCGATTCTCAACCCTCATTAGTAAGGTCTTAACAGACATGTTACATTTGACCTCAAGACAGTGTGACTCAATCACATACAACAAATCATAAACATGTTTTCAAATTTGACACATGGAAAACATTGTGGAGGTAAAACAACTAGATGAGCTACTTCACCGACTCTCTTAAGGATTTGGTACAGACCAATGAAACAAGGTGTAAACTTCCTAGACTTCAAGGTCCTACCAACCCTAATCCATGAAGTAACTCTTAAGAATACATGATCGCCTTCCTGAAATTGTAAGTTCTTCCTCCTCTTGTCTACATAACATTTCTCCCTATTCTTGTCTACTTTCATCTTATCATGGATTATCTCAACCTTTTTCATAGTTCGTTACACTACGTCAAATCCTAACACAAAGTTCTCATTAGGTTCACACCAATAGAAAGGTGTCTTAAACCTCATTCAATATAAGGCTTCGTAGGGTGTCATCCCAATACTAGAATGGTGTAACATCCCTTTTTTCATAAAATAAGATAAAATAGTGCTTAATAAAATAATTGTTTACTAACTTAATTAATTAAATTAATTGGGTTAGTAATATTATTAAATTATTTTTATTAAATAAAAAAAGGGCTGTAGGTGTAAAGAATAGTATTGGGTTGGACTTTGAGCCCAACTTGAAGGCTTTTTAAAAACAAAAAAAAAAGTTGGGTCTTTTCTTAAGCCATTTTGAACCCTTAAAGAACATGTAAAGAAAAACCTAAAAGAGGCCACTAGAAGGAGCACGAAGTAGTAGCTGAGGCTACACAAAGGGTATCTATGTTGCGGAATTTTTACTTGAGGTATGGAAAAGTAAGGATGTCAAATTTAGGGGAACATATTAGGGGTATATGTAATGAGGCGATCCTTAACCCTCATAGGTTGTTGATTTTAATCTTGCAAGATACGTGTTTATATAACTTGAGATTGATCTATTGTCATGTCTTAGTGATTTCATAAATTATTATGATGAATTATGATGCTTTGTATATTGTGGGTTAGGCTTGTATGTATGATTTGGCAGTTTTGGTTTGGTTTGATTGATTATGGAAATCTTCGTATGAACATGTCTTAGTATTTAGGTGATTTCTTTCTATGTGATTAACCAAATAGAGTTCCATTTGTTAGGAACTAGAAAATAGACATTTGGCCCAACCATTTAGACTTAATAAGCACATAAAATGCTAAAAAATAACCAAGTTATGTGAGTCATAAGATGAGCCTCACATTTTGTGAATGAAAAGTAATGTTGGTAACATGTTAGCCTTGCAATGACCTTTAAATGACTGGATTAAGTTTCATGGTATTCATAAAAATTGTAGTCTTGGATATTAGCTTTCCAATGGCACTAGAATCACCCAAAAAAGATGGTTAAATCCCATGTTATGATCAAATTAGTGAGTGAATGTGTCAGAACTAGGCTTAAATACTACAGTTCTGTAATTTTTAAAAATAGTAGATGGAAAAATCAACTCTTGAGGTCAACATATAAACTCTAGATAGCATAGGTAAAACTCTAGATATTGTGTTTAAACCGCATGATGTGATAAAAACTTAAAATAAGAAGAGGTAATTTGTGAGTTGTAAAGGTGAGTTGTTTTATTTTTTTAAGTGTCTGGTATCATTGTTGATTCACTATAAAAAATCTACTAGATTTTCCCCAAAGATTTTTAATATAGGGAACAACCTAATTCATTCTTCTCAAAGACACATAAGCCAATAGGAT